ACTTATGCATAGAGATAGATATTTTACATTTGTCAAGTTTTTTTTAATAGTTTCTCAGAGTTTCATTTACTATTTAAGTCCTTTGATAGTTTCTCAAAGTTTCATTTGCTATTTCTTAGAGCAATTTGATATAAGCAGAACCTAGTTTATCATTTGGTGGCTTAGAAAATTCAGCCATGGTCAGAACCAGGAACAACAGTAAAATTAGAACCCAAGTCTGCTGTTGTTGACTTTTGAGTAAATGAAAGTGACATTCGAGTCAGCAATTCAAATGTGTAGAAGAATAAACTGTACCTCTGTGCTTGTCCCACCCCTTTTATAAGGCCAGACATGTCCTAAGGACAGGACAAAGCAACCCAATGGCAACATGGCTCTATGTGCGACTTTACCTTCAAATTATAGAGCAAGGCGTTACTTAAAATATAAAATATTGTTATAAGAAAATGTTTCATGAAAAGTGTCATCAAGCATTCAGAAACTATAGACTTTACAATTTAATGGTAGTAGAGTTCTAGCTGTGGAGCATGGTGGTGCAGTAGTGCATTGTTTTACTGTTAACTGAAAGGCCTGCAGTTTTAACCCATCAGCTGCTACACTGGAGAAAGATGTGGCAGGCGGCAGGCTGCTTCTGTAAAGATTTATAGTCTTGAAATCCCAATGGGGTAGTTCTAGATTGTCCTCCAGGGTCACTATGAGTCAGAATCAACTCAACAGCAATAGGCTAGCTTTACTGTAAGGGATACTAATGTATGTCTGATTGTATCTGGTAAATTAGGCTAGAGAATTCACCAGATGCTCATTTGCATGAGGACCAAGAAGTCTCCTGGGGGAACTCACTGAGGAAAGGTAGAGTTGTGTAGAATGCACTTGAACACCTTAGAAAACCTTTGCTCTTGGTTCTTAGTGGGGAAAGGAGGTTCTGAATACCACATTATTCTAAAATAGCATTTTATTATTGGTACTTGCTACCTAGTTTGGCTCTTTCACCATAAGCCCAGTCAGTGAATGAATGTGGCCTAGACATCTGACAGCCTTGTAGAGCTGTTGTGCACACTAGGAAAAGCACCTCCTTTGGGCAGATGGAGCCCCAGGAGCACAAGGCTTGGTGGTCCAGCATGCAGAAGTAGAAGGAAGAAAGGCTTTCCATTCTTCAGAGAAATGTAACCCTTCACCAATGCTTGGTCAGCAGAGCATGGGCTAGAAGCCCCCTCGACTCTCCTTCTGGACACAAACTGTGTACCTTTATACAGCAATATTTGGGAAGGGCACAACATCCCACTTAACAAAAACTACTTTAATTAAAATAGTAGAAATAATGATCATATCAACAACACTGTTTGTTGCTGTTGCTTCTAAGTGCTGTTGAGTTCGGTGTGACTCATAGTGATCCTGTATAAGGTTTCCAAGAAGCAGCTGGTAGGTTTAAAATGCTGGTTCACAGTCCAGTGCTGATCCTACAGCGCCACTAGGAATCCTTAAAAAAATTAACAGAAAAGGGAGATAAGTATTGTCCTTACTTTTAAACAGAAAATTGTGTTGCTTTGACAGTTTTAAGAGTGTTCAATGGCTCAATAAGGTCAGTGGTACCTTGCAGACGGATCCAAATGCAGCAGACGGGCAGTGACAAGTTGTGGCTACCCCGCAGGCATACTGGTGCCCAGTGAATGCTTTGTAGAAAATGGTAAGTACCCAGCCAATTTGGTGGCACATAGCAGGAGGCACGAAATTGAGCCACATGAAGGTTCATACTGCGTGCTTAGTAACATAGCATTTACTCAGTAAGGACAGGTACGAGCCCTTGCGACACCCACTGGGTGCTCCCAGAATCAATTGCCATGGACAGGGTGAGGAGAATGTCCTAAGTAGGACCCAAACATCTTCTTTGAACAAGGTTAGGGGGACAGTAGTAAAATCTGGCTTTTTGCCGTTAGTGTCAGTCTTTCTGTTCCCACAAACTGGGGAAATCTGTAGAAACTTGGTTTGCACAAAAAGACCATGAGAGATTAATTACTTAATGTAACCCATGCTATGTATTTTGTCTGAGGTCAAACATTACAAAGATTTTTTGGGAAAATGTGGCCTGGTATCTTTTGTGCAGGAATGATATACTTTTCTCCTGAGAAAGAACATTTGATAAAACTTTTGTACTTTTATTCACTGTACTTTTGTACCAGCCACATCCAAATCATCATATAATACATTTTTAATATAAAAATGAATAATCTTCCACACCCCATAAATAACTTTAATAAAAGCAAGCTAGCTGAATAGGTGCAAAATGACAAGGAGGTGCCGGGGGGGAGGGTCCTTGTGTAAGTGATGCACAGAGAATAGATTTTGAATTTAACTGGCTGGTCAGATTCAATGAAGAAGAAAATGACTTTGGGGGAGGTGAGAAAATCACTTGGAAAAAGTTCTTTTGCTATTTGACTTGGTAATTAATTTTGCCTAGAGATGCCATGACACAGCACAAAGGCACAGTACAGCCACTGTCCCATCTTTATGTGAAAGGGATATGATAACGAGGACTTGTATTCCAAAAAGAACTCAGCTTTTGAATGGGCTGAACTAGATGTAGTACAAGCAGAAGAACAGCTTTCTTTGGTTTAACAGCTTTCCTTTATAATCTCTCCTTTGAAATTCTTTCCCTGGAAATCCTTCATTATTTTAAAAGGATTTTCCAGTTATTCATAAACAACAACAAAACAAAACATTCCTGTTACTTTCAAACAAAATAATCATCTTATTTTAGTAATTAAATGTCCATCCACTGCTAGGACCTAAAGTCCACTCCAGAACTATGTAACGGTCTCCCTCCATCTCTAACTCAAGAATCTCTGGTAGCGTAGGATTATGAGCTGGACTGCTAACCGCAAAATCAATAGCTCAAATCTGCCAGCTGCTCCTCAGGAGAAAGATGAGACTTTCTGCTCCAGTAAAGATGTATAGTCTTGGAAACTCTATACTATAAGTTGGAATCCACTCCATGGCACCTCACCACCACCACCTCTAACCCAGACCTAGACACCTGTAGTGAGAAATGGGCTCAGAAGCACCATCCACCTCTTCTGTCTTCCTTGTTCTTCTTTGATCCTCTCTATAGCTGATTTTTTCTTGACCCTCTGGTGCTATAGGATAAACACTGGAAAGTCGGTGGTTCGAACCTACCAGTGATTTCGCCAGAAAACAATAAGGCTGTTTGCTCCTATAAAGATTTATAATCTTAGAAATGAGATTTATAACCTCATTTATAAATGAGATTTATAGGATTTATAATCCTATATGAGATGACTTTGAGTCAGAATTGGCCCATTGCCAACTGAGTTTCCTCTGGTCTGGTTTTCCTAAGGGCTAAACTCTGGTAGCGTAGTGGTTACGAATCTGGCTGCGAACCACAAGGTCAGCAATTTGAAACTACCAGCGGTTCCGCGGGAGAAACATGAGGCGTTCTACTCCCGTAAAGATTTACAGTCTCGGAAACCCTGTGCAGCGTCACTGTGAGTCGGAACCGACTCCACGGCACTTAACAACAACAACAACAAGCCTAGGAAGTGAGGTGGGGAGAGAATTAAGATAAAAGGAACTCTTGGTGACTTGTGTGGTTGAAATTGAGGCTTGATTCTCTTTGGCTTTGGGAGATGAGCATTTAATGACTATGAATTCTGCCTGTCCTCTCTGGCACATGACTATAAGCTCTCCTCTCTGAGCTTCCAACCCTGCTCTACACAGACTGTTATGGAATGAATTGTATCCCTTCTTTGCCTGTTGATCTAGAGACTCAAGTAACCCAAAGTGGTCCAGGGGCCATTCTTAACTTCTAGTTCAATGGAATCAGTGTTGTATCTCCAGGTGGGACTAGTCTTCCCTTTAGAACAAAGACCTCCTGACCTGAGGAGCATAGCGTAGCATCTATAGGCAGCAAAGAATGTGAGTCACTAGGAGTAATAGTGAATGGTGCCACTCTCACATCTAACCCTTGGTTCCAGGACTCATAAATCTCAGCTGTTGGGAAAACAACACCATATACTGGATGCTGGTTTAGAGCATATACAAACTCCAGGAGAACATTGCCCCAACCCTGCAAAGTATTTTTACCTAACTGGCATGGTAATTGTGCTTTTAGAAGGTTGTTATGTTATTTTTATCAAGTTAGCTACTTCAAAATGATGGCTAACATAATAAGAGCAGTGAATTCTATGACTTAGACTAATTGCCACATTTCATTCTCTGTGAAGTGAGTCCCTTGATCTGAGGCGATGCTGAGTGGGATACCATGATGGTGGATAAGGCATTCTGTAAGTCCATGCATGGTAGTTTTGGTAGAATCATTCCATGCAGGGAAGGCAAATTTGTATCCAGACTCTATAACAATAAAAGTAAAACATTGCTCTTTCCATGATGGAAGTGGTCCAGTGTTTCCAACCTGTCGCTGTAGGCTGATCTCCCTGAAAAGTAGTCCCATATGGCAGTGTTGGTCTCTGATGCTGGCAGATTTGGCACTCAGCAGTGACTGTAGCCAAGTCGCCATCCTTGATGAGTAGAGTCCATGCTGCTGAGCATAATCTCCATCCTACCACCATGGCCACTTTGTCTAATGACAAGAGTGCTGAAGAAAGGGTGATTCGTTTCCACCGAATGTGTTATCTTATCTATTTGGTTGTTTAAATCTTCCTCTGCTGAGGTAACCCTTTGGTAAGCATTCACATGAGACACAAATATCTTCAATTTTTTGGTCCAGTCAGAATAATCTAACTGCATACCTTTTCCACATACTTCCTTGTCATCAAATTTCCAATTATGTTCCTATTCCTACTAAGTCCCTGACCATCCAGCCAAACCATTTACCACAGGCCACAGATCAATGTGCAGTCACACATCTGGTCATTTCTCCTTCCAAGCAAACTGAAAAACCAGGTTTACTGCTGATTGGGAGAATTTGCCTTCACCACCGCCCTTCAGGGGAGTCCCAGGAAGTGGCTGTAGTGCTGTTGCTGTTCACATTAAAGCTGGGCCTGAATATTGTGCAGAACCAGGTGTAAAACAGCAGAGAGTTTCTCTTCCTCAATCAACTGATCATAAGGAACTCCCCATAAGGCCATAGGTGTAGACTGGGAGAGGGAAGGCAATGCAACAGAGTGGAGGTCATGATGGGCAGTTCAGGTCCCAGGGTGACCTGGTGGTCTATGGTTAGGCATTCAGTTTCAACTGAGGCTCAGTAACAAGACAAAGTTAGTTCTCAAAAGGAGAGTAATAGCATGGCAGGGCTTTGCTCCCAAATCCTAAGGGTCTGTGCTTGGCTCACCAATAGGGATCTGCCAAAGATTCCATTCTTTATCTCAATCTGTCACTGACACTCCAAGCACCATTGGATCAGCTAATCATGTGGTCCAAGTCAGAGCAGCATCCATGGCAGCCTGAAACTGTGGCAGAGCCTTCTCATGTCTGGACCCCACTTGAACTGGCAGCTTTTTGAATAATTTGATAAATAGGCCAGAGTTGTTGTTGCTGTTGTTAGGTGTCATTGAATTGGTACCAACTCATAGCGATCCTATGCACTACAGAATCAAACACTGCTTGATTCTGGGCCAACCTCACTGTTGTTGCCACACTTGAACCCATTGATGCTGCCACTTTGTCAATCC